CATATTCAATATACATATGTATGTAAATATATGTAAATATTGATATATGTATATATATACATATGTATGTAGAAATATAAATTTAAGTAATGCGAATTTATTGCTTTGCATTAACAAAATTATCAATAAACTACATAATAATACATAAGTTCTGTATTATATAAACATATTTCATAATAAGTTAACCTTTTCCCGTATATAAATATATTTCATAATAAGTTAACCTTTTCCTTTGATTTATTTTTATTATTCTATATTTTGCGATTTATTATTTAAGGTTTTAATGATTCATTGGAGGCTGTAAAAGTTACAATATTTGTCAAATGAATCACGGGTCTATTATGATCTCCAATAGAGCTTCATGGTCAAAGCAGCACACATTGATGTGAATCCCACAAAATTGAACCTACAACCGTCACAATTACATAGATTTGGCTTCTACGCAAATAATATTAGAATTTTGACTATGTTCAATTTAAATTGCTTTAGCTATAGCTTCTATTTGGTGGGCCTGTCTGGTCCGAGAGCTCTTAAGAAACGAAGGATGTTTGCTTGAGTTGAATCTGGACCATTTGTACCCCGTTAAAAATAGCGATAAATCCGCTTGAAAAAAATTCGTTCTCGATAATTCTCGATAATTTGAATTCTGTGTAAATCAAAACTGATCCTCTTGTCATTTCGAATTATCGGTACTCGACTGTATTATGTTGTCAAAGACTGTTATGAATTAAAGGGTATTTCGTATTCGTGGTTAGATTTCAAGTTATTTTGTAGATTAATTTCATTCCGTTTCAGTTAAATGAGAACAGGGGAAACAACTTCATAACTTCAGATGATGTTTAATTAATAGAACTATATATAGTTCCAGGTATTCGTGGCATCAGGTGTCAACAACCAAATAGATAAACTTTTAGTCTCTTCCTTTCCATCCCTCTCTCGCTCTCACGTCTCTCGCTTCTTTCGCTCTTTTTATATAAATTTTAACTTGGGATGATATTCGAGGCGAAAGTTGAATCCAAAAACTTTGTTATTTTGTTGAAATTGCGTTTGTTTTGGGTTTAGTTTGCGCGTTCGAGGCACCCAGAAGGGGTATATGCGGTTACTTGCCATAGTTATAAATATATATTGTATATGTACATACATACATATTTACATATGTATATATTTTAATAAAACCTGAAAAGCTTAAGTCGAGCAGAGTTTTTGTGATACTTTGGGTGCGCGCGAGTACGAAGCAGTTGGTAGCATAACGCCGCTACTTTCATTTACCTGTCCACCCGCCGCCCACTGGCTACGCCCCCCAGGTATTCACATCTTGTAGCTTATCAGCTGTTGCCGCAGCAGCAGCAGCTGCGGTTGGACTTTGGGGTCAAGCTAAGAGCTCTTGGAGCTGCATATGCAGCCAACCACGCCCCTCTTCCCACAGCCTCCTCTCTCTCTCTCTTATTCTTCATGTCTCTTGGTGTTCCCCTTCAGCTGTGTGTGTGAGTGTGTGGCAATGCAATTTTATGGGCAACTGAAGAACACTTCGGTTTGCTTTTGAGGCAATGACTTTTACACATCGCAGCACATGGCTGCCCAACTACGCGCTCGCGAGTGTGTGTGTGTGTGTGTGTGTATGTGTGTGTAAGCGCTCAATTGTAGCCAGCATCAGTGAGCGCGTGTAAAATCGTAAAGCAACTCACACAATTGACTCGCAGCTCGACGTCAAGAAACTTGCCTTACCGGATTTCGGATGCTGACCCAGCTAGCAAACAGACAGCCGCCAATCGTTCCCTCCTCGACCGCCAGCGCACCTCGCCTTCTCCTGCCATACAAATAACTCTCCCCACCCATCACCCTCCTTGTGCCCACAAGCTCGACGCCTACGCTCACACCTGGCATGTGGACTGTGGGCAATAGACAAGCACAGCTTCGCTCTCACTCTCTGCCCCCCTCTCTCTAGGTCTCACTCTCTGCATCTCTCTCTCTCTCTCTCTCACCCTCCGTCTCTCGTTCTCTTTTACACTTTGCCTAGCGTTTTGTGCTCTCCTCTTTGTATTGATTTCGTTTTATACAACGAATTCATGGCTTTGGAATGTTGGCGTTTGGCTCTCTCAATGTATGTGTGTGTGTTAGCATACAAGTAAGTAATAAGTAACTTCTTTTTCGGCTTTAAGAAGAAAACTGGAAATTCTGGCGCCCATTTTGCTGGATTCTGTGACCCAAAAAAATGAGAGAAAAAAGAAATAGGGAAAAAGCCAGAGATGGGAGTAGGAGTGCATATGTATCAATACACACACACACACACACAGATGCATAAAATACAATTATGACAATGTGTCGATGTGGCAGCAGCCGAAAGAAAGCTATTAGAGAAGAGACGAAACAGTCTAGGTGAAAAAAGATAAGACCGAAAAATGCAGGTATAATAAATTCGTAGAATGGCTAAGCCTGGCTTAAGCTCGAGCTAAATGTGTGAAAAATTTCTATTTTTATTTATAGTTAAAAAAAAACAAAAACAAAAAAAACGACTGTTTTTAGCTATAGATTGAAACGTAAAGTGGATATTTAATGGATGAAAAGCGAGTGGAATTTGAAAGGGGAAAAGGTGTTTTTTTACAGAATTTTTAGCTTTATTAAATAGTTTTCGAGACAATTGCGAGTTTATTTTACCCAAGAGAGGATAATAAGTAGAACTAGAAGTAAATTATCTCATTCACTAAGCATGGATAACTTCGAGAAAATTAGTGGAACTTCATAGAGCTTTACGATTGCCTATGTGGAGAATCAAGTTATTAACACAAATATAAAACTTAACTTGGATTCGTGAAACTTGTATGGATGCGGAACCAGTATATCTGGGCATTAAAAACATCCAATAAAAATGTACATATGCATAAACAAATGTATGGGAAAAAAAACACATTCCATTGTACATATTTATTTATATTTTCAGCTCGACTCTCAAGTTCGCTCTTATCCGTTTCGCCAGAAATCGAATTGTTGGTAAACATAGAGTTAGTTCAAGTATTTTTTTTTTACTGGGAATATGCAACTTTCCAGTGATTTAGCTGGAAGCGAAAAGACGCTTCCATTGCTCGAAATGAAATGGAAACGTTTATTGCGTGAAGAAAATTCAGTTTTCGGCTAAATTTGAGTCCAAGTACACATGTGTAGATGCATGTGCCGATTCCATTTCGTTTCTAAAGATAAAGATGCATACGCCCCCAATAATGGCCACAAGTGAAAAGCAGCCGCCCCCAAAAATTCTTGTCTACTGCAGTTGTACAGGCACTGTGGCTGCTCAAACTGTGGCTCTCTTGGTCGCTCGGCTGTTGCCCCACAATGAAACGCGTTTCGTTTTCTGGTTTATTTCGAAACTGTCGTTATAAATTCAATGCCGCTCAAACTGTAGATAGCTGTTATTCATACATATATTTAATATTCGATTAAAATGTATCAATATTATTCATTTAAATTCGCGCAACCTTTTTGACTAATTGTCATTTCATTCCATGCCACTCTTTCTCTCTTTCTCTCTCATTATGTTATTTTGTTTATCAGGTCAGGTAGCATAATGACGTTTACAAAATGCATGCAAACACGTCAAAACTGACATATACATGCCTGTCCAAAGTCTAAAATAACACACACACACGTGCACATACATACATATGTATGTACACACAATTGCATTGCCGGCAAGAAAACTTATTAATAATATAATTATGTATGTATGTATGTTAAAATTGTTGCTGTGCTGTTCTACAAATGTATCTTAGCGTTGCGCTTATTGCATAAATGCTCTGCTCAGCTGCCCACCTGCCCTTCGTCAGACAACAACAACACAACAAAAACAGCGAATAAAAACAAAAGCAGAAACAGACACGAAAACGCAACGTTGACGACGCCAACGTCACGACGCGTCGCTGCTTGTGCTGCTGCTGCCGCTGATTCATGGCTTGTGTTCGGCTCTCAGCTGAGCAGCTGTGGCGGACATGTGGGCAAGCAGAGGTGCGAGCAGAGTGGAGAGCAGGCTGGCACAGTTTGGCAGCCATTGCATGTAGTTTACACTTACTTCAGTTCAGCGCTAGCGTCGAACACACACGTGCGCGTATTTGTATGTATGTGAGCGTGTAAACAAATATAATTTGTTACAAGAAACCCGAAAAAAAACAGGAAAAAAAATAAAGATGCACAAGCACAGAACAGCACAAAGAACGAAAAAAAAATTAAATGAACGTTAGAACGGAACGAAACGGCAATGAAACGCTGGCGCAGCCGCAGCAGCAGCCAGCGCAGACGTCAACGCACGCGCGCGCGCTCACAGCCAGGCCAGAAAGCGGCACCAAATATATGGAATATGTGGGGCGCGCGGGTGGGATGCAAGGCGAAAAGGCAGCCGGCACGAGTCGACAGAAAACGGCACGGCACGGCACGACGCGGTACTCCACGACACAGCACGAATGAAAACGAACCGAATTGCAGCAGAACGAACAAGCGATGCTCTTGAGACGACGCTACGACAAACGGCGACTGTTGCCACACAACTGATGCGATTAGTTGGCGCTGCAAAGCGCCAAAGCCGCAGTTAGCCCCAAATGAGCAGCGAGCAGCGAGCAGCGAGTGGAGAGCGGTGAGCGACGATGCGGCGGCCAGAGCGGGAGCGCAAAGCGTTTGAAGCTGACCACAAAACGATTGCAAAAACAAAAGCGTCACAAAACAAAAGCTGCGCGCGATGCCCAAGCCAGCTTAAGAGAGCCGGAGAGAGAGAGAGAGAGCGAGCGAGTGAATGAACGCGTCAGAGTAACAGTAGAGAGTACGTAATGAGGTGCTTACAGTTGAACAGCCACTGCAACTTGGTAAGCCAAACAGCTGATAGCAGCAGCATTGCCCATAACAGAATGTCAAAATAACAGAATGTTATATGCACCCAAGTAGTTAACATTAACAGCGCAGTTTTAGTATCACTTTGATTAGATAAACCAAAATTAAATTTAATTGAATACGCAACTTACCCAATCTGGAATCATTTTTCTTGCGCACACGCAAACAAATTGTGCAGGACTTGATGCACTGTAAAGTGAATGAAGAAATCAGTTAATATGCTACCGCTCTAAGTCGTAAACGAGATCTGATTGCTTACATCGTGGATATGGCGTATGGCTTCCGTGCGTGATATATTATCCAGGCTGAGTCCATTGACCTCGAGTATCTCATCGCCCACTTCCAGATTATCGCGATCGGACGGTGAGCCGTATAATTTAATTTTACCCTCCGCATTCTCAACAAGTATGATAACATAGCCCGATAGTTCGACAACTTGTTGCTGCGAAAGAGAGAGATAATGAGATATGGAATGAGTCAGTGTGAGCCGGAGAGGCAGGGGGAGGGAGAGTGAGGAAGTGAGGGAGTGAGGAGAGTGTGAATATAATTATATTATGCTTGTCTAGAAAATGTTGTCCTTGTGCTCAAGTTTTCAATGTTGTCTCATAAAGTCATTTGCATAAATGCTACAAAATGCTCCGGCCATGGGCCCCAGGTGAGGAACTGACCCAAAAAAGAAAAGCATAGAAAAAAGAAATTAATTATACACAAAATGCGGGCCACATTGACTAACTCAGCTCAGCCAAGCTCAACACCTACAGTGCCTCCTGCTCGTCTTCTGCTCCTGCTCCTGCTCCTGCTCCTCCTACGCATTTGCCACAGCAGGAGTCGTAATTTCTGCTTCTATTCCTGCAGCGTAGGCGTTCAATTTGTTCGTGTGTGTGTGTGAAGTTTTTGGACCATTATTGCTTGGGCTGGCTCGTTATGTTAATTACAACAAATTATGCTCGTGTGGCAACGCGTGAGACTAGCCCCAACCCCTCCACCAGCAGCCTCAAGCAGCCGCCCCTAAACCCCAAGCACAAACATTCGAGAATGCTTAATAACTGTGTCTGTATGTCCATGTTCGTGTGTGTATATGTGTGTGTGTGGGTGTGTCCATGCCTGTGTTTCATTTCTCAAGCTTGAGTTACGTTAGGGCATCTGCGTTCGACAAACATGTTTCATTCATTTGTTTGTTTTGTTGCTTTCTTTTATAGCCAAATATTTACAGTTGGTGAGGCATTGTCTGGCTAACAGTTGAGGCTGCACTGTAGTTTGCTGCATTTCATGTCGTATGTCAATCGAAGTTTATATATTCATAAAATAAGGCGAGAAAGAGAGAGGGGGAGAGAAAGAGCACTCTGTCTCTTTCTTTCTCTCTCTATACATACATATATTTGTTTCCATTCCCAATAAGAATCCTATTGACAGAAATACGTTTAAGAAACTGTTGCATTCTCAATGCAATATAATTACATATTTCCGATACACATGCATATAACCTTTCTGCTTTAATATCCCATTTATAGAGTATTCAGGCTATTTTTAACTGCCTCATTTCTCACTGGAATCTTGGAAACTTTTATCAGAGTTTTTCAAGCGAGAAAAATGAAGTGACTCATATCATCAATTGACATCAATTCACGAAAGTAATTTTCATGAAGTTAAATGAGTCTATAGGAACGCTCCACCTACTGTCCGTCGTTCATTTGCTCGTCCGTCAAGTTTCGAGTCTATATGCAGATTTTCGTAGATTCCCTCATCTAGGAAAGTGCCAATATTTTACGTAACGCCTACTAGAGGCGTGGCAAAAATGTGGAATGTGGAATGTGGAAGATGAGGGAAATTTATGTTGCCTAACTTAAGAAACTGAGAATTGAACGACATCCTCTATTGAAAGCTGAAAGATATACCAATTATGAGAGTGCCACAGCAGAGAAATCTATATCTCGCAAAGTCTTGGAGTTCTTCAGTTCGTAGAGCCTAACTCTTGCGTTTTTTATTGTTCAATTTGAAATAGATAAACTCGTCTAAAGAATTCTGGAAAAACGACACTTTCAGTAAGATATTTTTAATTTTGACTCTTTATAATATCAGAGCTTGCTAAGCAGTATTTGTCAAATATCGTTCTACATTCACTTGACATTATAAAAACCTCAACCCGTTAAAAAGGGAAAAGGGGTATCATGGTTTTTTTTTTTATGTACATATATAACAGACAGAAGATAGCGTGGATGACCCCATTAGGTATATTGTATATTGATATATTGATGTATTGACTTATTTATATATTTATATATTCGCATATATGATTTCATTTATACTAACATTATAATTCAGAGACTCTAGCCCCCAAGATGGTTAATCGATAAAATTAAAACATTATGCATGGCAATATAGCAATACATCAATGCTATAGACCTTTATGTATTTGATAGAATTTCGATTTTTAAGGTATTTTAGAACTGGACGTAGATATCTACCAAACAAGTTATCCAACAATGAAGTTCCCAGTGCAGTTCATGCGTATGTGTATGTATGTGTGCATACGTGTGTTATTTCATCGTGTAATTATTGAAATATCGATTCCTAGAAGAGTTCAAAGGATCTCGTAGTCGAGCAGTCACGACATAGTGGTTAATATTGAGCCCATTAGGTATTCGGAAAGAATCTAGCTCCACCTCACATTCATAGGAATTTTACTATTAAAGAGTTAAAGAGTTCAGTTGTAGGGAGTTACGCATAGGTCTATCATAGACCACAACACGAAAATTCGGAATATATTGATTTTGGATAGGGGTAGATGGAAGTAGAGTGGGGGAGAGAGAGGGATGGTGCATGCTGTGCTTAAGTGCAAATGGCAAATGTCAGTGGGCGTTACGAAATGGGGCGTGGCACAGAGGTCGCTGCGGCAATTGCGGCCAAACGCGCTGCGCTCGATGCACAATACAAAGAGGCGGCGATTGGGCGTGGTGCGCGAGTGCAATTGTTGTTAGACCCAGGAGCTCGACACAACAGCAACAGCAACAACAAGCAATGGTAATAACAACAGCAACAACAGCCAACAAACAAACGAACAAACAAACAAACTGCGCAAAACCCTGGAGCAGGGCACAGGACAATGCCACAAAGCAAATGGGCGCTAAAGTTGCAGGTGCAGCAGCAGCAACAGTGGCAACAGTGGCAACAGCAACAACTGCAATAGCAGCAACAAAAATTGTTGACAACTTGACATTTGATAGTTGCCGCAAAAAAAAACTTTTTATATTCTTCCTTTTGCTTACATTTTTTTTCTCGCGCTTAATGCGATTAGGCAACAACAATAATAATGACAACAACAATAGCCTGCAACAAAAGTCGGCCAATTGCTGCAGCAGCAGGCCGCTAGGGGGCGCCAAACTCAACGACGAAAGCAAGAGCTAAACAACAAGCAAACAATTCCAAAGCAATTCCAGTGCCCTCAAATCGAGAATGACCGACTAGCAAATACCCAGCGTCGCTGTTCCAATTGTGCAAGCCATCTGTAGATGCTTCATACACAATGATGTGCCTCAACATGAGAATAGAGCAGGACATTCAAAAAGATCTTAAAGCTATGACAGCTCCATTTGGAGGGTGGGGTGGGGCATTGAGTTCTCATATTTGATTTGGAAACAAGTACGTGATGTCTCTAGCTTGGACAGTTCTAAACTAACACAATAGAAACCATCGATTATTATCGATAATATGGAAAAAGATCGATAGTCGAGTAATAATGATTAGCCGTACTGTGGCTTCAGTAGTCTGCGAGTTAGCTGATCTTAAGCTGAGAGACAGTCGGACTGTTGGAGAGCTCACGCCCACTTTTTCACGAACATTCCTCTATAGACAATCCATATACCCCGTATTAACATTCTCAATGGGCTTAGAGTACATAAAAAAACCGGCGGCATAATTATTGACGCTTCAGCGCCGGATGCGGGCACTCAGCACATATGCACCCACCTCCCCCCTCCCACACACACACACACACACACACATACAGTCGTAGATATAGAGCAAACATGTAACACATGGCATACACTGGGGGCCATGTGTGGAGGACAATCGGCGACATGGACTCGGAACTGGAGCAGCCTCCATCGCAGTCGCAATAGCAATCGCAGTCGTAGTCGCAGTCGCAGTCGCACCCACATGACAACAACCTGCCAAAACCCACTCGCCAGCCGAGCCACCCACCAGCCCATCAGCCCACCCACCGCTGCCGCCTCTGCGCCACTCGAATGAAAAATGACAGCAATTACGCTTAAATTATGCGTTTGTTTTCATATGAGCGTCCTTGTCAGTTGTTTTGCTGCTGTTGTACTTGAAGCTCATTTCACACATTGACAGCGGCATGAAGATAGACAGAGAGAGAGAGAAAGAGACAGAGAGAGAGATAGAGAGAGAAGTTACTTTAAACAAGAAAAAAATGCCCTAAACTCAACAATTAATGGGCAGCTTCTTAGTGGAGTTCGGCGTTGGATACTGCGGATGCTGCATGTGGTCAGAGCGACTGAGAAAAAACGAAGCAAAGTAGAAAGAGAAGGAGAAGAGGAAGAAGAAGAGGAAGAGCACGCAGACAGAGCACAAACATACTTACTGCAAAACGTAGCTCTTAAAAACTCAAGGGAAAAGCACTTTGTTAAAAGTTCAAGCATTCAGTTTGCTTTTCTTTTCTCTCGTCTCTTTCCTCTTTCCTCGCTTCTCTTTTCTCTGCTTTGCCTGAACTAACTATCTGGATTATTCTTCGGTAATAAAAGTAAATTTGTCCATTCCAAATGTCATTCCAAAAGAGAACAGACAGGTGAGTTTTGCCAGCGGCTCGCTGGTGCTCGACTAACGGATACCCTAAGCTGCCAAGCCAGAATGCCAATTAATACTGTATTGAGCCGAAAGATGTAAGTCAATAAGTCAAATTGCCTCATATTTCTGTATACTTCTGGCCAATCGAAATACCAAAGTTGTAATCAACTGCGCTGCTCTTCGCTTCTTATCGATAACTAAAGTTTATCAAACTACAACTAACAAGTCGGTTGCGTTGCGATGGACGAAAACACACGTTAGACTTGGATATTGATAATTATCTCGGTTATAATCCGTTTATGGTATCTGCTACACCTCCCCATATTATGTATATACAGGACTCGCGGCCGTCGATTCGGAGGCGTGAATTATTGCTCGAAGATCGATTCTATTGGGCAAATCTATCTGTTCTCTCTGGAGGCCGTGAGTAAACAGAGATTGCTGGCTGTACAAGGATGGATGAAAGAACAAGAACGACAAAGATCGAGTAGGCGAAGAATGGTTCAAAACTGAATTTCATTTCCAGATGAATTATTTTCGCTGGAATAATTTTAAAAGCTAGGTCCAAAGTTTCTAGCTGCTGGAGAAATAGAGGGTGTATTGGTGCCCCCGAATGCCGAGCAACTTACGAATCAT